GCACTGGGGGTAAATTTATTCACATATTGCGGTATTTTTGCGTTGAATTCAGACTATTAGCCAAACTGAGGGCGTTGCAGTTTTGCAACACTCGCTAAACATAGCACGCAAGGCTTATTACACTCATCTATTTTAACCTGGCCAACGAAACCAACGCTCGAGCTGAATATTCTTTTTCAGGACAATGTCAAGGTAAAATATTTTAAAATTAGCTGGACGCCTATATGACAATCGATGACATAGATGTCCACAAAAAATACCCAAAAAACGTTTCGTATGTGCTGCTGTTTATGGTTACATATCTGGATTTTTAATCATATCTGTGTGTGCTATTATAAAATAAGGTCATTTCTTTGATATCTGTGCTTCGTGAACACGTGCGTGGTATGTTAGTTATACAATACATAACAGTATGTACGTAGGTATATAATGTTTATTTCAGTTACTGCGGCTATGCCAGAATATATAAAGATCAGTTCAAATCAGTGTTGGCAGAGGCTCGCATGTTTATAACAAATATCTGAAGCACTTATTCCTGGCACACATCCACCATGCGGTTTACTATGCCATGCCTTGTTACAATATTTCCGTTTCATTCATTTTTACCGATTCTGACTTTTTAAACGGGAGTTCTTTGCCAAAGGAAAGAAATGAAAGTATTCGTTCAGAACATAAAGCTTTTGGTACACATTTATCCGTTTCTTCTTTTTTTGTAGTGGCAGTTTTCTGCTGGTATGTTTTTTATTTCGTTCGTTCTTGGCTTATGCTTTGAATTTAAATTTCAATCGAATCTAATAGCAATTCTGGAATTGAAAGGATCAGGAAATTGGTTTTATCGACACAAAATATGGGTATGAAAAATGGTTACGTAGCGTACGTACAGATGTGTGATTTCGCATGGCTTCGTGAAAGTCTATACTATACCTATGTCCGCCGGGCCAGGAAGAAACCTGATATGATGGTGGCGACTAGAATGACATGGAACAAGTTGCTTGTAGCTTGGCTTTAGACTGCATTGCACCTATCAATGTGGGAAAATATAAGTAACAAATACGGACAGAGCTGATAACCCAAGAACTTATGATATTCGTAAATCATAACTTCATAAACTAATCTAATAAGTTATAAATAACTCATATTTCTTTGATTATATAAACATAGAAATACATAAATTCTGTCCTAGATAATAGAATGGAACAAATATTTAGACTTTTGTAGCTGCGTAGTTAGGAATCTACTTAGATCAAGAACTTGGCCTTGTTTGGCACTGCCACGCCCCTCAAATTGGATACTTGAATAACAAACATAAGATTGAGTACGTTCTCAATCTAACATTTGAATAAGATAATAATTAAAACCATATTTGGATGACTAACACTAATTAGTAGCATTTTTATCTAATAGACTAATAGAGTATCTACCTCATTAATTACCGATTGAAGAATAGATATGTAGACTTTGGTAGTTTCCGTCGTACGACTAGGCAAATAGAAGCTGTCTAACTGAATAATGACTTTAATTAGGTAACTACTTTCATAATCTCCATACAATGTCAACTAAACGCTTTATAAGCGTGCCCATACGTAGATTACGTGTAGGTATTAATTATTTCATTATTCAAACATGAGCGCAATGACGCGAAACAGATGATATTAGCAACACACATTAGATCCGCCATAATTTATTACTAAAACAATGTTTTTATTTTGAGAGTGTGTGGCTGTGGCGTAACAAGTTAACAACTGACTAGCTCTCATCTGAATTGCAAATGGCCGCCGGCGTGGAGATGCGGCAACGTCGCACGGGTGGTTGCGGAGCGGCAACGCTGTCTCGTGCGTATTTTTATCAAAGTAACAATCGTGGGGAACTTATCTGTTATCAAAAGGTATTGTGGTCGTCGTCTCGGTCGGATGGTGACTGCCTGAGCGTAGACTGTTCCTTTGTAGGCATTATTCACCAGTACTCGCAAACAACTAGTCTTGGGCTCTTGGCACAGTTTGATGTCATTTCATTTTAGTGGAAAATAACAACAAAGTAGCCGGGTCGAGCTGACTCAGTTACATAAATGATAAAACGGATGTCTGTAGATTTATGCGAGTTTTACGACCCATGTTTAGAATTCAGAATAGAAAGTAGCCTAGGCATCATGTAGCTCCAAACAGTCGCTGGTTAATTTGCTTAGTTTTTAGTGCCGCATGACGTTTGCTATGAGATTTATAACTTTTGTAAGTCAGAATAGCTAGAAAAAATGACGATACTAAACGTCAATTACTTATCTCTCTACTTACTGGTTGCCTAGGTACCAACTGAAGTACCAATTTCTTTTTATTTCTACTAAAGCTAGGATTAGAAAGGCATTTAGATAGCTCGCTATCTCTACATAGATATAAAAAGTATCTGTATAACGTTCTAACACCAAAACAAAATCCACACGCACACAGCGAGCTTCAAGTAGCTTTCCATCAGCAAAATAGTGTTCATATAATAACATTGATTTCTACAAAGTTTGTCGACGAACACGGCCGGTTTTGAGCGAGGCCGGAGGGGGCGGGGCGCGGGGTGCAAGGGAGCTAAATTAGATTTCTCCCGGGGGGTGCTTTCCCGGGACCTTGAGGCGGGCCACGCCACAGAATCAGCTGTTCTCCCAGTTGTTTCACCTTATTGATAGTTAAATATCAACGTCGCACGTGTTTCGGATTGTGAACTTGTCAATATTTAGTTTGTTTAGTTGTTCTACTCTTGGAAATTGTTGCTCTTGTGCGGTGTAGTGACGTGATTACTTTACATCGATGTTTAAGATACACGGCTTCTTACTTTTACGTGTTAATTCAGCTAACTACCTTTAGTTCACAGATTAACATTGTTAGCATCATGCTAAGTACAATGTAAAAAAAATAGTCGGGTAAAAAAAGAGAAGGAAGATTCCTAGCAACGACTCGGACTCGGATCTCGAACCAGATGCAGAGAGTGATAAAATCATAATGAGATGCAAATTCACTCTACTTTTATCCAGTTTTTAGGTATTCGCCATTTAATTTGAATTAATCACAAAACCGGTTCGCATTGTATTCGAAACATTCTATTTCTCAACATTTATTTCATACCATCCTATTTGTATTTGTATATTTCGGCACCTACTTATAAAATATAACCTATTCATAAAACATTAAAGGAATGAATAAAAATCCTCGCCTACGTTGGGTTCGCATTTATAAGTCCTGAATTATTGGCTGGCAACCCGCGTTGCTAAGCGACGGCCGCCCCCGGAGGACGCGCCCTCCCAACGCAATTAATTTCGAACCCTCCAGGAATATAGTCGACCTTGCTTGCCCTGCTGATTTCATTTCGACCGTTATTTTGTGCGTCCGAACGGCTATAGATGAAGTGCCTATTTTTCATTATTTCGTGACTTAATTCTACATGGCGCGACATGTGTAGGTGTAAGGGCCTCCAATGTTCGATTAGGGTTACAAGTTACAACGGAGCAGAGAAAGGGTTACATAGTTCTGCACAACCCTTTCTCAGAACATGTAGCTACTACCATTATTAAACCTTCAGGGTAATTGCTACATGTTAACAGTTATTTTTGGCACAAATCAACCCTGAATGTTTTTAACGTAATGAATGAAAACCTTGGAATGAATCTGGTTATAAAAATAATTAGGTAGGTACAGACCTTCTTGTACGAAACATTACAAGGGCTCAAACCCACTCAGAACCGAAACAAATTAATAATATTTTGATTTTATCCTTTACGAACATTTGCGTAGCTTGTTTTACTTCACAGATACAAAAGAGAAACGAGGAATTTAATACAATATTAATATATCGTTAAAATTGGTTCATTCTTAAGAACTACATAAATAACTTGGAAAGCTACCTTTAGGCAATTATTTTATAACCTTATGTACCTAGTAAAGGGCGTGGCATAATATATGTAGATTGTAGAGGTAATATAGGGATTTATGTACTGTATGTGGTGACCTCTCCCTACTTTGAGCGAACCAGGTTTCGTCTTGTTGAAAATGTTCGACTTGCTATTCATTACACATTTTGCGCAGTCTAGAATTACACATGGTGTCGTGCTCATCAGTCATTACATTACAAACTCCAATTAGAGGCAGAAAAAGTAGTAAAACAGAAAATGACGTTTTGTTTGTTGCAACACGTGCTTATTTTTTATGGAGCTGTAGAAGTCAAGAATAATGGCGAATACTACTAAGGCCAGAAAGTGCAACATTCATGAAAGAAAGCGAAAAATACGAGTATTATACCGGTCACAAATCCATATCTATCGTCAGCATAAAAACTGTAGAGCTAGCATATTTACCGCGGTTAATATACCAGATATTGAATAATGCAAATGTGCCGCATAATTGCAGATAGCCAGCAAGGAAAACGTCATTAACTGAGAGCGATGCCTTAAACAGGAAAAGTTTGTTTTGCATCGTATACAGACTGGTGCGCATGTGTGTGTGGTAGATATGAGCGCCGGTATTTGATAAGTCGGCGGCGGCGCGCCGACTAAAAACAGTCGGCGGCGGCGGCGCAGTCGGCGGCGCGACCATGGCAGTGAATCTAGTGCGAGGGAAGAAATGAAATGCCACTGTTTTCTGTTACTTATTGCTTTTAATTATATCACAGTGAATTAAACATTTTTGAGACAAGAAACAAAGAGATCTATATTTTGTTATATCTATTAAACTTTTTTGACGAAATAATTAACTACCTATTCTAATAACATTTGCAAGTACAAATAATCAACAATACCAACAAATTTAAATAATAATAAAACAATACAGAGGTATATAACCTAAGAAGCTACACAAGCTAAGCTATTGATAAGGTTTTTTGGCAATTGAGTCCAGGTACACTACAGTAGTTGTAGGTACACATAATTACAACTTAATCATAGAGCCCACTTACAATATGTAGCAAAATAATAGATAAGAAAAACGAAACAAAAAGTTTAACGAAAATTATGCATCGAGTAATCAAAAAGCAAACTAAATATCAGCTTTGCACTGGGTGTAATTGTCATGAATGAATATAATACGATTTACTCTCAAAGGATTTAGTCGGGATCTTTTAGCCGTTATCAATTGTCCAGCGACGGAAAATACTCTTTCGCTTGGGGTACTTGTCGCTGGGACGAATAGTACTGCACGCGCCAAACTTGACAACCACGGAAATGATTTATTTCGTTCCTGCCAATATTCAAGTACATTATCTTTATAGGCCTGAAGATCTGCGGGCGTAGCTGTGCTAAAATATTTCCAGCACTCGGTTTCGATTATGCTGTCTATGTCAGCAGAGTTGACAGAAGTGCTGTGTCTTTTTGCTAGGTTCATGAAGAAAGATGAAGATGGTTTCGAAGTACTGGGTCCAGGAGTTGCATCTTGTATTATATGCTCCTGGACAATATCTCCATTTTTCAAAGTAGTTTTTGCATAAGTAGATAAAAATGTAACCTTGGTGGTTTGGTGTTGTTCCATGTAAACGTCAATATCTTTGATAGATTGGAATCTGCAATCTAATAACGTGGCAGCTATAATCAGGTCTGTGCAAGGAAAGCGGTAATCTAATTTAAGGGACATGTTATTTTTTAACATTGTTATCAGTGCCGGCTCATTGTCATCACATTCATCTAGTATTCTCCTTATTTCTGACTTGAAAACCAACGCTAAATTGATCGTAGTTTGCGAATCTGAACTCATCATTTCCACTATTGTTTTCCTCCAACGTTCACAATTAACTGACCGAAATAATTCCAACAAAAACTGTGTTTGTTGGTGGATATTTTATTTAAAACAGTTACGGACAGCTCCCTTATTTTAGTTTTTGTAACCTCTATCTCTTCTGTCGACATTTTGTACTTATTTTATAACAAATAATACGCGCGGGCGTAGCGAACAGCGGGAGCGAACTGAGTTTTGCCAGCCGGCCGGCGCGCCGTCCGCTTCCTTCGGCGGCGGCGGCGGGGTGGTAAAGCGCGGCGGCGGCGGCGCGCCGGCGCGGCGCTCATATCTAGTGTGTGGTGCGCACTTTCATTTTGCGCGTGTGTTCGTAAGTGCGCAACGCCCTCATGCGCCCGCGCTCGCCAGACGCTCACGTTATCTCGCATTCCACAGATACTATACACCTACATTGTAGCTACCCACACATACATACATAATTGTAACCCAAATAGATATAGTCAGTCCGTTTTGACATTTATTCGTTTGTCGTGGTCTTGTTCGTCAAGGGCGTGCTTCAGAATCTGGGAGGCTTGGTGCACGTACTAGATTAAAATGGTCATGCAATGCATGTTTTATCGTTTTCATCTCTACACATTCTGGCTTGATGCCAGCCGTTGCTTTGTTGAGAGGAACTGCGCTTATTAAATGGCGCTCATGGCTAGTTTGTTTTGTTAGTCAGATACTTACACTTTTTGTACATGTACATACACAAGCCATCGAGCTTTACATAACCAGTGTAAACTGAACGTTAAATGTGCGGAAAGGTGATGCGACGCGACACCAGGATAAACTGGTTTTGTATAGATTGATGTGTGGCCGTGTGTACATACATGCCTGATTTACGTTATTGACTCTTGTATATATTTTGTCTTGGATTTTGGATTTGCTCTACATATAACACATAACACCTTTTTAGTTTATATCAACCTCAAAATTTTAAATATCATCTATTTTCAACAGAGGATCACGATCACGATTTAAAAGTCGTCAAGTGCATGATTATTTTGGCATTAAACCTGAAACAGGAGTTTTTTTTTTATTTATTTCGGTAGTAGCCTGCATTCTGAGACTGTGGCAAAACAAATCATTAAATCTTTAATCCAATAGATAGGTACCTTCTAGGCTATTGGCACTGCTCTTTATTGAATTGAATAAAATTGTAATTTATTGTTATTTTAAACACATTAAGATATAGTTTTGGATACAATCGAATCTTTATGGCGGTCTAAATTAGTATGTTTTATATTTTGTAGAGATAACACCGTTTTAGCAGATAACGGTACATCTTACGCAACTGGATAGTGAATAGTAGTGGAAGTTTTTGTCAACCCTCTTTGTATCGTTTTAACAATAAGTACTTCTAAATATCTTTTATCTTTATAACTTTTTCTTACTTCTCTTATTGTTGTTTGAACATAGAAATAATAGGGCCCTTTTTACTTTGAGATACCAATGTCGGTTTTCTAGTTTTCTCATTTATTACTTCTTACTTTCTTGTGATTTTATCATTTATTATTGTAATAGTAACACGCAGAACCTAGACGTTAAATTATCTAAAAACTTACGTCATCACGTCTTTATTCCCCAAAACATTATTGTTGTTTGTCGTGCCGTGTAGTACCGTGTTCTGGTGTGCAAGTCTGTTGCCATAAATTCCAGTTTTGTAGAGAAAAAAAGAAATGCGCTGCTCTAACTCTAGAATCGATTTTCTTACCACTCGAATAACGACGAAGTCATGTCACTTAAAATTATTACTTTATCTATCTGAAAATATCACAAGACGTAAGTAGATGCATGTATCAGAATAATTTATTTTCCCACTTTATCATCCGATGCTCATCAATCAGATAAAAATAAATCGTATTCAGATAAAAATTCAATGTTGCTATGCTAAAATATTGTCTAAACAAGTCATTTGCGCTCGGGTAACACCTATGTTTTCTCTAGAGATAAATCGTCTGCATTAAAACCTGAAGTGCTGCATTGCATCTGATTTTGTAGTAGGTATAGAACCTACCTAATGAAGGAGCCACGAAAAATGTTGAACTACGTCTTCAGTTCAACAAAATTAAAAATACTTACGTCTCACTGTAGTTGTCAAGGTTCCTAAATATCCTAAAAACATTTCAATTTCTTAGGTAGATGTGATAAATTATTGTTAAGTAAAGCTCTGACTCTAGCGTTAAGATCTTCGAGAAGAGACTAACAAAATTAATTAGTATTCCACACGGGTTAGTCAGGAAAAGATGGTTGAATATTATAATGTTTCAGTTTATAAGTCACTGTTGTTATAATGTATACCAGTTTTAATGTATTTATTTAATTTGTTGCAGGTACAACAAGTTTAAAATCGCCCATGTCACTGATTCCTCGACGCAGAGGTAACGTTCACGCCAATCTTACGATTTCCTAGACTTGAATTTTCAACAATTTCTACAGTAAACATTCCTCAGACACGTTACCAACACCATGTAACTCACTAAATTATATTTGTCTAATCTTCACCTTATTTTCTTATATTCTTAACGCCATCTAAACTTTATTTATAGGTTATTTTTCGACTATTTTTACCTAGAGTAAGCACACTACATTATTCGTAGCGCCTTCATCGATGCCATTGTACAGTTTAGCTTCAAGAGGTCACTGGACACTCCGAACACATTCTCGATAGCTTCAATCATTCTTTTGTCTAAGTTGAATCGAACACTTTCAACACGTTCGACATCCGCAGCACGACTGCCGCGAAATCCATTCAACAGGCCGACAGGATGTGGGCGGGGCGTGCGGGACGCGGCGTTATTGGGCGAACGCGCGACTCGCAGTGATGGCCGCCGTCGCATTCAACCAATGAGCGGCGCGCGAGCCGAACGCGCGTCCGTCCGGCGAACGTGCGACGTTGCCAGCTTTTACCAGAAAAAAAAATACCAGATTCGACCTTCTTAGGACCCCCGGTTTTTTTTTTGTTTGGCCGCGTTATCATTCGGGAACGTGTATTGAGGTCCTTATCCGTTTGTGAGATGGTTCTGCGCAGGTGGATGTGTTGTGTTGTGTTATAGTTTATTATGGTGTGGTCCACGCAAACTGGCGAAGTGTTGATTGACATCGTAACGAGGTACTGTACATAGTATACATAATTCGTTATATTTTTATTGTGTACATAAAACACGGCTGAGTCATGTGACATTACAATTACCTCATTGACTGCGTGAGCATTATCACGGCTAGTGACTGTTTATCGCTTAATTCGATGTTTTGAATAAATAAAGTTAGTGATATCGTTTATTTGGTGTAGCTACGTGTAGGTATCAAAGGTTATTGACGTGGTTTCACAATCACATCTTGTGAGCTGGGGTTTGATGCTTGTGTTGCATGCTTGCAACTACATGGAGGTCATTGACACTTGTCTGTGCATCTGTCATAGTGTTACATGGACTATGAACTCAACTGTCCTTGTTGGGACATACCTACCTATACATATAGTTAGGTACAATCTTATTAGCTTGTCTGTCTGTGTCGATTTGTAATTCATTACAAACAGATTATTAATCTCTATCTACATTAGGTACCTACTTATATCTGTTGATACATACCAATAGGTAGGTATACCTAATTACCTAGTAAGTCTTTGGTAACACTTACATGGCACAATAACACCTCTACATAGGCACCTACACCCACATAGGTACCCCTGACAGTAACTTCACTTCATACATAGGTATCTATGAAGTGAAGTTATGTAGGTACAGCTATCATTCTTCTCAAATTGAGGTTTAAGTATTTAACTGATGGAGAACTTTGAATGTGAGTTATCAGAAACTTATCAGCATTGTTGAAACAGAAATGGTACCTAGCTGTAGTCAGGAAATTGATACTTAGAATTATTGAAATAGGGATCTAATTCAAGAAGCTGTAGGGTCAAGAAAATATAGGTACTCAGAACTGGTCTAACTAAAGAAGTACTGTGCTCAGGACAGGAGCCTTGATACCTAAGATATTTATGTATACATGTGTGTGTTTTTGTAAAACAGACTTTAACCATAGTAAATAGAATTCCGAGTTCAATGTTCAACACATGGAACCATGAAACAAGTTCATAATACATTTTCCAAGTAAAACCAACTTGACTTACAAAGATAGAACTTCAAAGTAACAACTGAACTACACGGTTAACGTTAACCTAACACGTTTACGTTTGACTAACGAGATCAAAGTTTCACTGAAACTTTACTTTTAGACTAGCCTCTGCCAGCGGCCTCGCTCATGTCCTCGTGGGATAAAAGTTAGCCTATGTGCTATTTCAGAGCTTAATCCTCCCCTGTGTCCAGTTTCATCCGGATCCCTTCAGCCATTTTGACGCTATTGAGTAACAAAGATACATACAAATTCACAAAATTTCGCATCTATAATATCAGTAAGAAGTTTACCAAGAACACTACGTGACTATTTTTACTCCACCTGTAATCTATACTATAATATTATAAAGCTGAAGAGTTTGTTTGTTTGTTTGAACGCGCTGATCTCCGAAACTACTGGTCCGATTTGAAAAATTATTTCTGTGTGAGATAGCCCATTTATCGAGGAAGGCTATAGGCCATAAAAGATCATGCTACGATTAATAGGCGCCGAGCAGAGCGAGTGAAACCGCGCGGAAGTAGCTAGTGTTTCAATATTTTTCTGCAATTATCTCGCGATTCACTGAATTGATTTTGATTCAGTTTTCTGAAAAATGTGTTCTAATTTTAACTAATTCTCATAGTTACTCTCCAACTGGTAACTTGTTGTTGTGATGTCATGATGTAACCAATAAGGCATCTGTGAACTAGTGGGTCACTCACTCACTAGACTCACTACCTATGCTAAAGTAGTTCGTGACCTATTGCGATGCTGACGTGATAGTGCATCAATTTTATCAGAACACTAGTATTAATTGATTATTAGTTTTTCAATTGAGTACTTGCCAAATGGTCAAATTCAATACTTCTTTTGAACTGTCAAAAATGACAGTTTTCTATGAATTCTGTACGAGATTGTGTATTGTGACTTCACGTTTTTTAGCGTCAAACAGCATACTTATTGCTTAAAAATTTGCTAGAAAAATACTAAAATTAAGTTGGTCATAAAATCAATTAGGTACTTAAAGTGTGATTATTTTTTAATACTTGATTGATAATTTGTCAAATTTTTCAACAATCAGTCAGTTTTTTAGAATTTTGACATAATTTTGGCTCCATACAAAATGTATGAAAACTATCTCTATTAGCAAATCTACCGACAATAATTTAGGTTTTTGAAACTGGCCGTGTAGAAAAATGCAAAATGCACAGATAATAAATAAACCTTCTTCAACCATCTTTGTATTGTTTAATCTGTGGACATGTGGCATGGCTGGGACGCGACGTTATACAAAAATATAGGTTAGTGGATTACGTCACCACTCGGTCCTCGTTAATTCACATGCACACAGAAGTCGTTGTCTCGAGATGAGCAGAGTTCTATTTAAAGGTAGACCAAAATTATATTTATAGTAGTAGGTTAAGAGATTGTTTATGATAATCTAATCTTTGCCTATTTCATTTTAGACGAATAAAATGTTGTGAGTATGAAATGCATGATGTGGCATCATTTACATGTTCAAGTGGGTTTCTATTTAGTCAGATGTCTTTATGACCTCAAAATGTTCACATCCTTATTGTAATTCATACTGTATACTATATTATGCAGGTAGACTTTATGATTAATAGATCTGTTCATAGAGTTGAAAATTCGCACTAAATATGCGGGTTTCATACATATCCAATTACTTACTTAGAACTAATCATAACATCATAAATACTAGAAATCAGTTCTAGAACGAGACCTTGGCTTTTAACTTCGATTACCAGATTTTGTATTTATTATTATTATCCATTATTCTGTAGGTATCTGGGCCATCCACGCGAGATAACGCAACGATCGGGTGGCTCAACTTATCTGATAAATTTAACGAAAATACAAGATATACTGATTAAGGTCTCAGGTCTCATTAGACCAAACAATGCTGAAGTCTAAAGCATAATGACTCTGTTAGATAATAGACTAGAGCTCTCAAAGTTGCGACATAATGGCTTCATTAAAGTCTCTCCCAGACGCGAGCAGATCGGTCATTAAATCGATGCATTGTGGAATTTCCAACAAACACGAACCTAATTACGTATTAAGCAAACCGTATTGCATTAATTACCAATCTTTATTTACATAAATTACGACAGAAAAGTGAAAAACATTGTATGATAAATGAATGCCAGTGTTCACTCGTAATCAGCATAAGATTTGGTGGTACTAATTAAAATATTGTTTCTTTCGATTAAAGGAAGGTGACCCCACCACTTCTACCTGTTTATGAAGTCTAGGCATTCCGTGAAGGTTATTTCGGGCTGGTGGTCGAATCGAGCGGCACGTTACATCGACATTATGCCCTTGGTAAATCGCGATAAACTAGCTGAATAAAATGTTATGTGCATTGCGCATGCACGTTTGCGCAGCACGGATTTAGCATAAATAAGGTCCATCTATTTTTAGTGTAGCACGTATTTCATGTAGCATTTTATTATAACCTAATTTACTCTAGGTTAGCCCATGCTGGCCTACAGATTTTGAATCTGTGAAATAACCCAACTTTCCGGGTTTGACAGAACCTGTATAGCCATAGAGCATAGTACTCTTTTCCCCATGTCTATGTGATCTATGAAATATCTTTGGACTAATTTGGACGCCGAGGCCTTTGATCTGCAGTGGCCAGTTGCTGAAAAAAATAAATGAATAAAATAAAATTAACTTACCTGTTTACTGTTCCACCATAATCTATATGTTTATTAATTTTCTACATAGAACAATCTAATCATTCCTAATTAGACCCTTGAAAATTCTAGTCATACTGTTCAGATTAACAGCAGATCCAACTGCTTGACAGTCGAGATTAACAAAGCAGAATAAACAATGTCTTGAACGATAAACGCCTTTTTTGGTAGGCAGCCATCTATAAATCATATTTTTAGACGACTATATAACTCATAAAAAACATGTCTGATAATATTATTTATGTTTGAATTCTTAGTTTCTACCTACTAAAGGTTTTCCTTATGTGTACTTTGAACTGGTTTTTTTATACCTATATAGTTTTATTGTAACGAATCATTGATTAATGCATTGAAATTATCATTAAGCGGTTTATATGCGAAAACTAAGTGTAAAGTCGAAATGTTAGGCTACTAAATATTAATTAGATATTTAATTTATCTACACGAGTGTATGTTTGAAAGTTAATACTTATTTATGGAGTTAGTTCTGTTTTTTAATTTTTATCTGATTTGGCAATACAGTGTATGATACAGTTAGGTTTAAGTAAGAAACTAATTAGATCTAATTTAACTGTTAAGTTTAATTTTACAATTTAATTCTGCGGTTTTGACCAATTTTCATGCATAAATTCCTATTGTCTTTACCTTAATTTTAAAGAGAAATATACTGCGTACTGCGTACCTGCTTTCATTACTTCCACTCACCACGTTATTAAAATTATAATAATAATTTACGTCACCAACGAAAAATTAAATTAATTAAACCATTTTCAACGAGCCTGAGCGAAAAGAGGCGTAATATTTTTGCAATTCCAAATGTCTCTAGGGAAAATTCTGGAAAATGGAATTGAATTGCGCTACGTGTCCTAGGCTGCATTTTATGGCCTTATAACATACACGCGTGCTAATCTGAGTACTAAAAGGGGGTGGGGGTATTATTATATTACACCCTCTATAATGTGGGGGAGGGAGCACCCTGTATATAATATTTCTGCGTTGTAATTGGACTGGTAATGTGAGGCTGGAATGTAATGCCTCTCATGTTGCCATGTAGGTAGGTAATACAATACATATTACGAAGCTTTTTTGCTTTTAAAGGTGTAAAGTTATTTTTAGTAGATACTATGTTCTTATATGTTGGGAGGAATTATGATTTTAATTACCTATGAATATACGTTAATTATTTTTTTCCTAGTGCCGTAAAACCGAACTAAACGATTACTACATTGCACAGATGGTACAGGGCTCCGATCAGCCCGAACCTTTTAATCTACTT